GAAGTATTTCTTTCTTAATCCTGATCACCGCATCATCTTGCAAACTACACTCTTCTTTTATCACACAGTTTCTCACCCTGTCACCCAGATTCAGCCCTAACATATTCCTTAGCGACCCCATTTCTACTGCATTTATTCTACTCTCGTGTTCTTCTGCCATACCCAACTTTCACTACTATACGTTAAAGCAGGAACTAATACATCATTGTGAATGGCCATATGTACCATTTATGACACATTCTCACTTTTCACTATAGAGTGTAGAGCCCCATTTACTTTATTTCCTGAATTCACTCGTCGTTCTATATCCTTATCATACCTCCCATCCCACAAATTTATCCACTTGCTCGACCATTTCCCCTTCTATTCTTATTTCACATATCGCTTTAGTCTCTTTTCTTTCAAAAACCATAACTTTCGTCTTACTTGCATCCACTTTCATTCCCCTTTCTTTAGGTTACCTGTTCATTAATGTTACCTACATTTTCCAACTTGGCCGCCGACGACGCAAGTATGACTTGATCATCGGCGTACAAAAGACATTTGACGGCTAACTCATCCACTCTTAATCCGCAGTCTTCAAATTTCAAATTTTCCAGACAACTGTCCATAAATATGTTCAACAGCCACGGGGAAGCCACACAGCCTTGTCAGACACCTTTGTGGATGCCATACCAGTCCGAGTAGGCCCTGTTTATCCTAACACAAGCGTTCGAGTCCCTATACAGGGACTTTAATGCCTAAATCAATCCAGCGGTCAACCTAAATGAGTTCATCGTTTGCCATAACACATCCCTGTCCACTCTGTCATAAGTCTTTTCCAAGTCCATGAACGCACAAACATTTTTTTGTGTGTCATGCCACTTTACTAATTGGTTCTATTTTAAAAATTTGCATTTTATAGATTAGCGTTTAGAACTTTTTGTAAACAATTATTAATATTTTCATTCAGTCCCCTATCAAATATTCAGCTTAACAAAATTTATATTTTTTCTTTTAATAACTAGAAAGATATAACTGCTGGGTAAGTTAACGATTTAATATCAATTCCCGTAATAAATCAATTAAATATAGTTTGGTCGGTTATAGTGGTATTCCATAATATTTATATAATATTAACTTTAATATTTGTGGCTCTAAGACGTAGAAAATTTTTGGTATAAAGCCTTTTTTTTTTGTACAATTAATTCATCAAAAATTTGATACAAAGTCGAATGAGAACAAATTTGAATGTCAGTAAACCATTAAAATCGTTTTTAACAAAAGTTAATTCGCTTTCGAAGGCAACATTTGTACTTAAATTAAGGAATCAAAGTTACACCCAACTTAAATACGTATTTAGGTCAGCCGGGTCGAAAATAACGAATAGAGAAGCGTTAAATAATTAGGCTAGAACAAAGATTTTTGTTCTAAGCCTAAGTTCTCTATTCGTTATTTTCGACCCGGCTGACCTAAATACGTATTAAGTTTCATATAATATATATTTTAAGAAATGATACTCTTGGTCTTAGACGCGACATATGTTAAATTAATTAACATTTAAGTTCTCCTTGAAACAAGGGATTATGAAAATGGTCGCAAAATTTTCCAAATGATAAACGCGTGCTTTTATTGCGACTATGTTTCAAATAGTGAGTGTACAGAACCTAATATGTTTTTATTGGTAATGAAACATACCATCCTAGTCTATGGTGTTAACAGCGTATCTGCATTCTGAAACTTAATCAATAACAGAGTTAGTAGGTGTCTATTCTAGAGTATTCTCTTATAAAAAGGTTGAGTGTATGTAAAATTAAATAGAATAGTTGCTATTATATATAAACAAGATATTAACCGTGCAGTGGCAGTGTAAAAATATCCACTACCACATATTCTCCCTTGGTTGTCGTAAGAGGCAACAAAGGCTAATATACCAGGATTTGGGTCGCAAAGTGTTTTCAATAACAAATTGAAAATGAAAATAAACTGTGGCTATCAACCTAAGCTAAGGAGAGGTATATATATGATCAGCCTAAAATATTGACTTTAAAATCACGTCTCCAATAATAATGTTTTTACATTTGTCTTTTTTAATAAACTTGCAAAACCGTCTTGCAAAACTTTTCAGGCATTATATTTTTAAAAGGCCAATAAAAGAGTGTCGGAAGTTTAAACTTAGATATTTCTATTGCACATGTTTCCAATACAAGTTCTAATCATTTACTAGACACATCTTCCCTTTCTTTAAAAATAATGTCTTTTTTAAATATATATATATATATATATATATATATATATATATATATATATATATATATATATATATATATATATATATATATATATATACCCCTTCACAACTAGATCTACAACAAAACGATGCGAGCTTATAACGATGAAGATACATTTCTGAAGTTGTGGTTCATGTTTCTGATATGCAGATTGCATGTATATTTCTTTTTTCTTCTATTGTATTTTTTAATAAGTATCGTTTATTATTTATGCTTCTTATATCTTGGTATAATACATCGAAGTTAGTGATGAACATTAATATTATTTATCTTCAGTAATTAGCCGCGTGTACTTGTCGATGGTTTAGGGTTTTTTACATCATTTGTAATTGTTTGATTTTCGTGTTTATTTCGTTGACACATAGGCCGTGCTTTTGTATTATTTGGGGATTTGTGTTTGATATGTGGTCTGTCGTAAATTCTTTTCCGTTTATAAATAGTTTTTTTTTATTGACAATGTTTGCCTTTTTGACCACTCTGACATGTTTTATTTAAAATAGCGATCTTTTCTTTTTTTTAGTGAATTCTGATAAGTTACTAATTCTAGTCTTGCACCTCTGAAATAATGTTAGTGCTGAAGCATGTAATTAGTTATATTTTTGCTTAATAGTTCTATTATTATCGGTCTGGGTCAAGCGTATGCAGTAAATAAGCTTAGTAAATAGTTTTGTTGCATATAATATAAGTATAAATAAAATAATAATAAGAATAAACGTTTTCGCAGAAAAATCGGTCGTACGTCTCAACGTTTTAATCGGGAAAAAAGGAACAAACAAATTTATTAAGGAACAGACCAACTTCAAGGACGAAGCACCAATATTCCAGAAGGAGCATGGGGAAAACTGCAGCACTGTGAGTAGAGCTTCTTCACCAATCTGCATTTTCCTACCCTTCTTATTTTTTGTGTGTTGATATTCTGGTTTTTTGTGGGATTATTTACGCCTAATTACTACATAAATTCACACTTAGTTAATTATTCTAATTAGTTAAGTAATTGAGGAATTTAAATTATTTCATTTAATTTCCTTATAAATTCACTTAATAATAACCGAAGAGTATTTTTTTTATTGGTAGTGTATTCTGTAACAAAAAGAAAGAAAAATGGAAAATTTAGTGAGAGTTCCTATGGAAATGGTTAAAATTATACCTAATTTCAATGGTGATACTAGACTTTTACAACTCTTTATAAAAATTGCGAGTACATACTCCATTCACTCCAAGGAAGCCAGTAACAAAACGAATATTAATTCCATGTTATTACAAGTAGGTTATCCGGGGAAGCTGTAAACCTAGTTGGAGAACGGGATCATATTAATAATTGGGACGAATTAAAAACATTACTAAGCCAACATTTTGGTGACCCGAGATCCGAGGAATGATTGGCTTTGGAACTCGAATCCTTAAAATTAAACCGTAATGAAAATTACCAGGAATTTTGTCACAGGATACAACATTTGAGAAGTGTCTTATTTTCTAAGGTTAGCGAAACGATTGACGATCCGAACTTACGTCTAGCGAAACAATCTATTTATAATTATAGTTCACTAAATGCGTTTCTTTATAATTTACCGGCATATTTAGTTACACTTGTGAGATTACGGAATGTGAATACTCTAGAAGACGCCTTGAAAATTGTCTTAGAAGAACAAAACTTTCAGTCCGTTTATGAAAGTAAAAATTCACGGTCTAATCGAACAAACTGTAGGCCGAGTCCTAACAATAATCACACTTATTCACCTAGAAACGTCCCCCATACGGAGCAATCTAGTTCAAATACATTTAATAATCAGAACAATTTGTCACCCTACGTTAATAATAACCGCTCTTTTAACTCGTCAAATAATTCATTCCAATTTAGGCAAAATGACAACCGTAACAATAACCATCGAAATAATTATCAACAGCAATCGATAACTAGATCACCAGTAACACCGGCGCCGGGCCCGATACAGCATAGTCAGTATTTCGCGGACAATGCCCCTGCGCATACTCAGCGTCTAACGCAATACCAATCGCCACCTGTGGCGTCGAGTTCGAACACCGATGTAACAATGCGAACTGCCAACTCAAGGAGAATAAACTATACCAATAGCGATATAAATCAACCTTGCAATTCACAACAATGTATTGCATCAAATTAGTATAATAATTCGGATTTGGCTGAAATTGAAAATTTTCACATATTGGCCTTGACGAGACCAATAGAATAAAAATTAATTGTACGAAACTTTTAAATTTACCACATATCCATATACCTGAACTAAAAGCTTCAGTTTTTATGATAGACACTGGTAGTACTAGGTCATTTATTAGTCCAGAACTAGCAAAAAAATATTATAGTGATTCGGTACACTTAGAACCGTTTGAGGTTATTAGTACTCACGCTGCCAGTAAACACGGAGAAGTTGTCTACGCAAAGTTACCGAGTATCTTTCATAGTACACAAAAACACAAGTTTTATGTATATAGTGTAGACGGAAGGTACGATGGGTTAATAGGTAGTGATCTCTTAAAATTGCTTGACGCTACCATTGACATGAAAAACCTCACTTTATATACAAATAATACTAATATCCCAATTATTTACTCACCGCCAATGAGAGAGACATATAATCTGCCTCCTCGCTGCGAATTAAGAGTTAAATTACCAGACAACTTAATAAATGGTGAAGCTATATTAAATTACATACTTTACATCAATCAATCATAAATTTAACAGAACTATTAAATATGTTAATAAATATAGAAAAATATGCCAAATTGATTTACCCAGCAAATAAGAAAAATTTAATTAAGTTAGAAAGAAATAGAGTAGTTAAATCGTATGTCAATAGGAATAACTTAGTTTTTGTATTAGATATCTCACTAATTGAACAAGACATATCCACATACTACAAAATAATACCAATTCCAATATCTAATTCCCAAGTTACCCATATCATAATCCCATCATATCCTTTCCTATTGGTGAAAATATTGAAATACCGATCAGCGGTGAGTCCCTGTAAAGAAATCGACGATGAAAATTTCTTATGCCCAGAGGAAAGTCTCGCAGAGTATCCAGCTGAAACATGTATTGAGCAATTAATGCAGATGAAAACCAACCACAGTAACTGCCAGCAACATAATATACGATTGGAAAATTTGAAAATTCAGAGGATCTTCAAGAACTATTGGCTACTCTATACCACTAAGGACTTGATAATAACTGAACACTGTCCAGAACACGTACAATAATATCAAGTGCAAGGCACATATATAATGATACCTAATCAAGAATGCAGAACACAGGTTGGAGACACATTCATCAACCCTCCGAGGTACTTTGCGAATATCAAACTTCAGCTTCCCACAATCGAGATGCCAACCGTACGAGAGGATGACATCAAGAAAGAAGCAAAACAGTTTGATTTAAGAAACGTGGACTTCAGTGATATAAAAGAACTAATAAATAGTGCTAAATTCAGTGATAACGAAATAAATACAAAATTCTTAGTAATAAGTGAAATCAGTGTATGGACCATAAGTTTATATCTCATTATAGTAATCTGTATAGTATTTGCCATTTTTAAATTCAAATTATGTTATCGAAATTCTCCGAAGTCGCTTGAGCCAACTTCGGATAATTTCCCCTCTTGAGGGGGGAGGAGTTAAGGCTGAGCACCCCTGCCAAATCTCATTCGTTCGCACATCATCAGCAAACCCATCTGGGTCAAGCGTATGCAGTAAATAAGCTTAGTAAATAGTTTTATTGCATATAATTTAAGTATAAATAAACAATTGTAATCAGTTAATATCGAATATTGTAGTAATAAACTTCTTACTGTAACTCTGTCAAAATAAATAAATATATTTTTTTGAAGTTTGGTTCATTATCTTAATTTGCGCGTGTGTGCGTGTGTGGGTGTGTGTGTGCGTGTGTGCGTGTGCGTGCGTGTGTGTGTGTGTGTGTGTGTGTGTGTGTGTGTAAATATATATATTGATGGTAAATGGTTACTGTAGCCGATACACATCTACATCTTTCGTCGATTACGAAACAAAATGCAGATGCGTTGTTACCCGTGAGGACTAAGATGGAATGCCTCGTTTCCAGTAAAAAGGTTCTCCGGTTCTCTACACTCACCATACGAAATATAGCAGCATTAAACTACTATTTTACGCTGAAATTCTGTGATAGCGTGGTCCTTCCCCGATCTAGCCGACCCATTCGTGCTACACATGTACTTCTAATATAACTGCAGCATGGCTTTACCACGTATACAAAGTACGTTATAATAAATTATGAGAGTGACCCCTGAGGTTCCACATAGTGTTAATTTTAGATTGACATTATCTACCAATTCAGACGGCAAGTTATTGATAAGCCGAGGTATTAAGTAGCTACATAGCTAAATGTTCGCTCCCCGAACGCATTGCTAGTACGCGGCTCGCTGAGACGGTTCTTGGAAATTGCTCGAGTGTGTACAGAATGCTCTATCGAGATTCTTAGCGATTCATCAAAAAATTGTTCTTTTAATCAAATATTTTGTAATTGTACATGTATTGGTAAAATTTTACTATGTTTGAAGAGACCACTGACTTCATCCCGAATTTATTTGTTATTTTATTTGGAACTCTAATCTTAAGTATTTTTAATTGTAAATTATGAATCTGGTCAAGATATGTGTTGTAAGTTCGGTCAAGATATGTGTTGTACTTAGTCCGTATTGAATGTGCGACTCCGCAAGTGCATTAAGTAACATTAACTTTATTTTTAATAGAATGCAATTATTGAGGATAGTGATATTTGCTAGAAATTGTCTTAGTTTAGTACATATACCTTCAATATGTTGGCTCCAATTTAATTTACTGTCATTTATTATTATTATCATATGTTATTTCTCTTTTTTTCAATTTAATAGATGAACTAAATATTCTAATAATATAGGAATCAGTTAATCATCATTACAGCCCTTCACAAGTCCACTGCTGAACATAGGCCTCCCCCAAGGTATGCCACAAAGCACGGTCCTGAACCACCTGCATCCATCGACTTCCTGCATGTCTTACCAGGTCGTCACTCAATCTAGTGGGGGTCGCCCTACACTTCGCCAACCAGTACGAGGTGTAGTGTAGGGCGAGGAATCAGTTGCTAAAAATTAAAGATAAAATAAATAAGATATTATTAGTGAAAATTGCATTTTTTTATAGGATAGGGTGACAAACGAGCAACAGTCCATCTGATGGTAAGTAGTTGCTGCGCCCCATAGACATCTACATCTATCCTCGATTACGAATCAAAATGCAGATGCGTTGTCACCCGTGAGGACTAAGATGGAATGCCTCGTTTCCAGTAAAAAGGGTCTCCGGTGTCTACACTCACCATAATAAACACAGCAGCGTTAAGCAACTATTTCACGCTGGTATTCTGTGAGAGCGTGGTCCCTCCCCGGTCGAGCCGACCCATTCGTGCCACAACTATACTACAATATAACTGCAGCATGGATCTACCACGTATATCGTGCATTTAGCATTGTTAGTGAAAATTGCTTATATCCGCAAACTGGAATGAAAAAAAATAAACTAGTAAATTATTCGCAAATAAAGATTGTCTATACTAGTCACGACTCCTCAGGAGATATGTGAAGTCTGCTACCACGCATTGTTTTAACGCGGTGAACATTTTCTTGCCCTAAACCCCCACCAGAAATGAGAAGAGGCTTATGCTAAGTAGTGGAACAAGTAAAAACTGTAACTTTACTTTTACTGGTTCTAAAACCAATATGTTAGTTACTATGCAACTCTATCTTGTATCCTTACCACATTATGCCTTGCAATTCACAACAATGTATTGCATCAAATTAGTATAATAATTCGGATTTGGCTGAAATTGAAAATTTTCACATATTGGCCTTGACGAGACCAATAGAATAAAAATTAATTGTACGAAACTTTTAAATTTACCACATATCCGTATACCTAAACTAAAAGCTGTTTTTATGATAGACACTGGTAGTACTAGGTCATTTATTAGTCCAGAACTAGCAAAAAAATATTATAGTGATTCGGTACACTTAGAACCGTTTGAGGTTATTAGTACTCACGCTGCCAGTAAACACGGAGAAGTTGTCTACGCAAAGTTACCGAGTATCTTTCATAGTACACAAAAACACAAGTTTTATGTATATAGTGTAGACGGAAGGTACGATGGGTTAATAGGTAGTGATCTCTTAAAATTGCTTGACGCTACCATTGACATGAAAAACCTCACTTTATATACAAATAATACTAATATCCCAATTATTTACTCACCGCCAATGAGAGAGACATATAATCTGCCTCCTCGCTGCGAATTAAGAGTTAAATTACCAGACAACTTAATAAATGGTGAAGCTATATTAAATTACATACTTTACATCAATCAATCATAAATTTAACAGAACTATTAAATATGTTAATAAATATAGAAAAATATGCCAAATTGATTTACCCAGCAAATAAGGAAAATTTAATTAAGTTAAAAAGAAATAGAGTAGTTAAATCGTATGTCAATAGGAATAACTTAGTTTTTGTATTAGATATCCCACTAATTGAACAAGACATATCCACATACTACAAAATAATACCAATTCCAATATCTAATTCCAATGTTACCCATATCATAATCCCATCATATCCTTTCCTATTGGTGAAAATATTGAAATACCGATCAGCGGTGAATCCCTGTGAAGAAATCGACGATGAAAATTTCTTATGCCCAGAGGAAAGTCTCGCAGAGTATCCAGCTGAAACATGTATTGAGCAATTAATGCAGATGAAAACCAACCACAGTAACTGCCAGCAACATAATATACGATTGGAAAATTTGAAAATTCAGAGGATCTTCAAGAACTATTGGCTACTCTATACCACTAAGGACTTGATAATAACTAAACACTGTCCAGAACATGTACAATAATATCAAGTGCAAGGCACATATATAATGATACCTAATCAAGAATGCAGAACACAGGTTGGAGACACATTCATCAACCCTCCGAGGTACTTTGCGAATATCAAACTTCAGCTTCCCACAATCGAGATGCCAACCGTACGAGAGGATGACATCAAGAAAGAAGCAAAACAGTTAGATTTAAGAAACGTGGACTTCAGTGATATAAAAGAACTAATAAATAGTGCTAAATTCAGTGATAACGAAATAAATACAAAATTCTTAGTAATAAGTGAAATCAGTGTATGGACCATAAGTTTATATCTCATTATAGTAATCTGTATAGTATTTGCCATTTTTAAATTCAAATTATGTTATCGAAATTCTCCGAAGTCGCTTAAGCCAACTTCGGATAATTTCCCTCTTGAGGGGGGAGGAGTTAAGGCTGAGCACCCCTGCCAAATCTCATTCGTTCGCACATCATCAGCAAACCCATCTGGGTCAAGCGTATGCAGTAAATAAGCTTAGTAAATAGTTTTATTGCATATAATTTAAGTATAAATAAACAATTGTAATCAGTTAATATCGAATATTGTAGTAATAAACTTCTTACTGTAACTCTGTCAAAATAAATAAATATATTTTTTTGAAGTTTGGTTCATTATCTTAATTTGCGCGTGTGTGCGTGTGTGGGTGTGTGTGTGCGTGTGTGCGTGTGCGTGCGTGTGTGTGTGTGTGTGTGTGTGTGTGTGTGTGTGTGTGTAAATATATATATTGATGGTAAATGGTTACTGTAGCCGATACACATCTACATCTTTCGTCGATTACGAAACAAAATGCAGATGCGTTGTTACCCGTGAGGACTAAGATGGAATGCCTCGTTTCCAGTAAAAAAGGTTCTCCGGTTCTCTACACTCACCATACGAAATATAGCAGCATTAAACTACTATTTTACGCTGAAATTCTGTGATAGCGTGGTCCTTCCCCGATCTAGCCGACCCATTCGTGCTACACATGTACTTCTAATATAACTGCAGCATGGCTCTACCACGTATACAAAGTACGTTATAATAAATTATGAGAGTGACCCCTGAGGTTCCACATAGTGTTAATTTTAGATTGACATTATCTACCAATTCAGACGGCAAGTTATTGATAAGCCGAGGTATTAAGTAGCTACATAGCAAAATGTTCGCTCCCCGAACGCATTGCTAGTACGCGGCTCGCTGAGACGGTTCTTGGAAATTGCTCGAGTGTGTACAGAATGCTCTATCGAGATTCTTAGCGATTCATCAAAAAATTGTTCTTTTAATCAAATATTTTGTAA